TTACCTGAAGTACCTAAGTGGTGTCATTGTGACACCCTGATTTTTCTGAAATATTTTCAAGAGAATGTTGAGTATGGTGTGGGGTTTGCAGGAAATCTATGAAATGATGCAGCAATAGTATAATACCTTTCCAGAGAAAGGTATTATACATTAGTGATTGTTCTTTGAGAGTGATCAGTGCTTTATAAACAAAGCAAGCAGGATGTACTGTACTAAAAGTTAAATATGAGTTGTTGCTTGCTTTCAGAAAATGGTGGAAGGCAGAGGACTGCTAATGGTGTCTAATGGAGCAAACCTGATAATGTGATCTTGACACTTAACATATGAATTAGATTTTTTTTTTTAGTGGTGCATAAAAATCAGAACGAGACATTGTTGTATTTGGTGATGGAGATTTATGGTCCCAAAGAGTTTATCTTCTAATTAAATATTAAGTTACTGTGAGTTAACGTAACAAATTCTGAGAAACAAGATGAGAGAACAGAGTAAGGATGTGAGTAATGAGCTGAAGTGTTCGTACAGTCTACCTGCATAAACTACATGGTGATTGGAATTCTTTGGAAGTTTTTCATTTTCATACTCTCTCAGCAGGTTTTCTTGGTTGTGCTGCTAAAAATCTCTTGCTACAATGCTGCTGTCTTATTTTCTCTTGAATATAACAATGGGATAGCTATTGTCTCGATTATTTTCCTGCGAGAAACTATGTGGGGTTCCTTACGCAAGTAATGTGAGTGCTCAGTAAGACAGGACGTTGCCATTTCTGACCCTTAAAATAGTTGCCTGAAGTCAGGGAGAGTGGAAATGGAGTGGAAGAGGGGAGGAATTGCAGTAAACCTGAATATCAAATATGTTACATATAAATTAAAACACTGTAGATATTATTACTGTATTATTTTTGAACGGTGATGTACTCTGATGACCTGATGGTAAAGCTCATATTTTGTTAAATCTCTAATTTCAGGTGTTGTTTTTATTTTTTTTTTTTTACTGTACTATGTTTTTCTCTCTATCTTAGTAACATCTCTCAAATTCCATGCTAAAAGTAGCACTGTAGTGTTGCATATTTTCTTTCAATGACTACCCCTTAAATTTGATCAAAGCAAAGTGAGTGTTCTTATTGACCACGCAAAGAGGGTCATTCTTTATTCTTTCTGTCTCATGCATTGATTGTTCTATCAGGACCTATGCTGGTGATTATTAGCAACTGGGTAGATACCAACTACTATAGTTGGTTAGTGTGGGAAGTTCCACATCACATATTTAATAAATGTAGTGGTATGCAAATATTGATTTTAATGATAGCTATAGTTAACAATTCTCCTGCTGACATGTGAGTTAGAAAATAATTTAGTTTGTGTGTATTGCCTCTGAGGTCAAAGAGATGAAAAGGCAGGTTGATCCTTCCTCTCCTTCTGTGCTACCTTTTTCTTTGGGAAAAGCGGGATTTTACTTTAGTTTTTTTCCTTTGTTCTGTTTTTGACACAAAAATGCAGAATTATTTTTCTGTCTACCTACTACTTTAATAGGATGATTTGAGGGAATCCTTTACTCCTAAGAGTCTTTTTTCTTTGTCCTTTGGTGCTCTTTGCCCTTCTGAGTCTAGAAATGAAAACAAGACCAAATCCTGAATTGTTTTTTTTCCTCAGTGAACTATTATAATTTTTAAGTTTAGCTTTGTTTTGGTAAGAAATAAGTGGTTTCAGAGAGTAGTTATTGGAATATTGAAATAAGAAACATTTGATCTTATTTTAAAGTAACTGAAGGAACTGGAATTGTGGAATAGATGGGAATATAGCCTGATCAAGAAAATTTGTAAGAAAAAATATTTCAGTTTTTTGCTGTAAGTTTAAAAGAAATAATCGTGTCTTTATTGGGCTCATTTTGTAAATTAAGATCAATAAAATCCTTCCAACCAACAGCATGGAATCAATTGTAAAATAACATATAATTCATGCTCTATATTGTAAATTATAGTTTGTTTGACATTAATCACTGAGTTTTCCATGCATTGGGGTGCATTTTCTTGTAACGCATTTCCACATAATACTTGTGGATCCATTTCTAATGAGTTTGAGAGCGATCTGCTTTTCATGTCCACAATTGCCTACATTTGATCTTATGCAAATCATGCAATCAAGCAAATGGAAAGCAAGGCATTATTACTAGAGGACCTTGACAAACAGTGGCTTTGTAGTTTTAAGAACCTCCTCCCTCCTCCTTCATATTCATGTTTGTGTCTGTAGTTGTTTGAATCCAGTGATCCATTATGAAACACATTGAACTTTAAATAGGAAAATATCTGCCATATCAGATTGTGACAAATAATTGCATTGATTACAATGTAATATGATTTTATTGTTCAGTTTGTCAGTTTCTGGTTCTAACCTTTTAGAAATACTGCCTACACTTATTTGTTGGCTCATCCAAACCTTGCTGAAGTATGTGGAGAGATTTTAATGGTGGCAAAGCTCATGCTTTGAGTGGCATTGCTAAGACTCTAATTTCTTTGTTTTCTACTCCTGCTTCCACAAACGTAATGTTTCTTTTTAGCCTTTTCCCACCTAATCTTTGAGATTCCATTGAAACTTTCTATTTGGCATTTAGTAGACAAAATACTTCAGTGTTATTGAATCAAGATGAGGAATAACGATTTTCTTTGGTCTTGTTGACATGTTGCTTTTTTCCCATATTTTATATTTTGACTCTTTTTTTTTTTAGTCTCCTGTCTTTCCCTTCCCTCTCGGTGCATTTATCAGTCGATTCAAAAGGGTCTCACTGCTCATATGTGCTGTGTTTCCTTTTCTTGTTATTCTTGTTTTTTTTAAACTCTACATGTTTGCCTGTCTTGTCTTTTTTGCTTTTTCCATTCTAGGGACTGACAGATACACATAGTAACTTATAGTCGATTGTTTTCTTCAGGGAGGGAAATTAAAAATGTTTCCACATTTCATTCTCTTAATCCCTGATGAAGTTCTCCCCTCTTCAAATTACACTGGGCATTTCCAGAAACTCTTATGTCTTCAAGTAGTTCCATTAACTACAGTGTGCATCAAGCCACCTTTTTAAAAAACAGTAGTTCTAGATGTGGAATTTTCCTTAAAGGAGAGGAAAATAACCCTCACCAACAAGGAAAAGAGTTATCCACCACAAACAAATAGAAAAGGAGACATCCACTTTTTCTCTTTCCTTTCCCTTGTGTTCACTCTGCTAAGTGAAGCCCCTGGTATAGTTTCAGCTTAGAGAGAAGAATGCATATTCACTGTTTACAAGGTTAGCAATTAAATAGGTGCCATGAATTGGTTTCAACTGTTTGTTTTAGGATTGCTAAAAGTAAAATCCTTCTGGTCACTTGTTTGCACACCCACAACATGAAGTATCTGATACTTATGTCAGAGACTTTCAGCTCCATCTGTACTTTTTCTGGCTTCTCTGGTGGTAGCTGATGGTCGGAATAAAGGGTCCAGGAAGCTGTACACTAATGAAGGCAATACAGTCGGTGCAGTATGTGGAGTTTACTTTCCCTGCTTGCTGAGCCAGCTTGAGCACCTGCTCTGGAGTGTGCTTTCCCCCTCTCACGGACATAAGCACTGCTTAACCCTGGTAGAATCAGTCCCATTATGTTGATTAAACATGTCACTGTGTTACAGGCATTCAATTGATGATTTTTTTAGCTACAGCATTTTTTTTTAACTCACACTTAGCCATGTGCTCCATAGAATAATACCACTGAGTGATATGGTATTTTCAATAAAAATGCACAAATTCATTCTCTCCTCACACAGAATGGAGCAAATCAGAAGAAATTCTGTTGCAGCAGGGACTGGAGTCATAATGGGAGAGAAGTTGGGTCTACAACATCTCTGATGATGTGTTTGTCATCCAATTGCAGGTTTTGAATTTGTGCTCACAAATATTTTTATACAAAATTATAGTTTGCTACTACCTGGCTCTGAAAACACTACCATTTGTTATGTCTTGCAAAAACCCAGAATTTTTCTGGCATACTGAAAAATGTGTGTCTGTAGCATAAGCATTTTACTTGTATATCTTATACTGTTGCCAAAACCTCAGTTGTAAATTCCTTCTTAAAGGATTTGCTTATTAAAATATGCAATTTGTATTTTAATAAAAAAATGAAAAATACTTGAAAATTAGGTCTGTATTACTGTCATACAATAATTTTTCTGTCAAATGTTCCTTTCTTAGTATAGGGAAGTGTATATGATCCTAAAGATCTTTTAGAGTAGCAAAAATGTTACATTTTGTTCACCATTTTCTGCAGTAATTGAAACTCAGGATAGCTTCATAATAAATAAACGTTGAACAATTTTTTTGCTATAGCATTAGACAGATTGTCTTTACTGACATATATTTTACAATTGTTTGGTGTTTGTACAGCTGAAGACAAACAGGCAAAGAGAGAACAGACCAGTATGAGTGGTGGCAACAAGGATCTTCCTTTGTGTTCATGCTTATAGTGAAATTTGTGTGGCATGAATCATTGTATGTATCGATGCTTGACATTCATGTATCATACAGCACATTTAAAAAAAAATATAATCCAGCTGTGTTAATGAATCTGCACTTGTTTTTCTCATTAATTTGATTTGATTTAATCAGCTCAAAGGTGTTCATTTGCCACTCTAGCGAATTGATGTAGTTTGTAGCATCTAAGAAGCTAACATGTTTGGGGGTTTTTTTGTTTGGGTGATATACATTCTAGTGTAAATGGTGTACAATGGAGTCACCTCAACCAAAGCACACCCCACAGATCTATTAGGAGTCAAAATTTGCATTTATTTGCTATTAAAGAACCAGTACCTATTCACTCCTCTGGGACAAACCTGAAGCATTTGAGATACAGGTTGCCCTTCCTCTTGATTTTCTGAATTCACTACTGCTGATGCCTAAAATCTATGTGACACACACTACTGTCTGAAAAAGAGAAAAACAAGGTAAAATTAGTATACAAAGTAAATTCATATTATTTTTTGTCCTAGATTTAGCAGTTTTTACGCCATACCAGTTTCTGCTCGCTGCCTGCACGCTTGCTGGCTGTACAAACAGTTCCCAGGTCACCTTGTTTACAGCACAGCTGCCACCATCTCATGTAAATGCCCCGGTCCTGACGGCTTTGGATTCTAGAACGATATACGTACAGTAAGTAAGGATTTCTTCTTTCCTGACAACACAATAGTGCATCAGTTTATTCAAGAATTCCAGTGAGTTCAATCAGGGGAAGAGTTTGTGACATAAAATTAAATTTATTATGATTAAATGCATAGAAGTGATTAGTTTAGTGGTTCTGTGAACCTTCTGATTATCACTTGCCAACTTAATTTCCATTTTGTCTTTACGCAATCAGTATAACCTACATATGGGCAGAGACTCTGCAAACTTCAGTGCAGGAAGTGTTCTGGTGATATGCCCGTTTGTAGCCCTTGCTTTGTGTGTTACTGTAATCATTTATCTATTGAGTGCAAATACAGCATTAAAGGTATGGCTTAGATTTATTTTTATGGTTGAGGGATTTATTTTGAGAATTTGAAAACACAGCCATGCAAAGTCACCTAAACAAAGCCTTACATTTTTCAGTATGGTCTAAATCTTTATTTGGACTGGTCTTAATCACATTTTGCTTTTATTTGCAGATGGAAAGAACCAGTAGAAGTAAATGGAATCCTAGATCGCTATATAATTTATATTGCCAACAATGAGCAGAATTTTACAAAGTGGAATGTAATCTATAACAGCACAGAACCTTTTCTGGATTTTACTATTCCGCAGCTTTCCCCGGGTACTGAATACCTCATAAAACTAGCTGTAAGTTTTAAAGATGTGTAGTAGAGGTATAAAATGGTGAAAATGATTGTGATTTTGTTAGCATCTTAATATTTAATGGTTCATGTGTCCACTTTGTTTAACCTCTTCTTTCTGAAGCCAAGGTAGATGAGCCATCCTGAACAAAAGTAGGTTTTTTGTTTCAAAACAGGCCCTCAAAACTATGCATGTAATTTTAATACAGGTTTTCTTCAAGGAGAAGTTAGATGATAACTAATAAATAATTGACTAGAAATATATAAAATGCTTTAAAAATGTCGCCTGGACCCAACTTACAAGAAAACATTGAATGTATTTAAAAATATTAACCTTTCATATTTTGTGCAATGTTATTTTGTTCTTCATAAAATCTGTATGTAGAAGGAAATAGCAGAGAGGAAGTGTGAAGTAGCGTTTTGTTTATTCAAAACATTTTAAGAGACATTAGTGTTTTCTTTGCGTTTCATTATCATTGGTTTTATTTTGTGATGAAATAGAACAGCTTCAGCTCAATAGCAAACCTGAAAATATGTGAATAAAAGCAGGGGATTGTCTCTTGTTTAGGCACACTGTTCATTTTATAACAATACCTATATAAGAATATTTGCTTTGATAAATGCCATAGAAAAATATTCTGCTCTTGATTATGAATAAATTTACATTTATGTAGACTGGATATGCATTCATTTTTTCTTAACATGCTCTTGAATGTTCTAAATATTATACCACAAAAAATAAACTACCTTCAGGTAATGATAAGGATCTGACTTGAACCTGAAAAAACAAGAATATTCAGTCTAATTAAAGCTTAGATTCATGCTGAAATTAATTCATTTGTGCCTAGATATTTCAGCATAGCAAATTGTAGAGCATATAAAATAGCACCATGTCCAAAACTAAGGCAGTACTTCAACAAGCATTTTATGCCTTTATAAAAAAGGAGAATTATCAAAAGAATTTGTGCTGTCCTTCACTGTACCACAGCTCTTCTCTGCTAGTGCCCAACTTCTGTGCATGGGGGCACAAGGAGAGAGGCTCATGGAAGAATTAACAGCTATAATCTGGAGAGCAACTGGAACTGCTTCTTTTGGTGCCTCTGCCTTGGGATATGGGAAGAAGTGTTGTGTGGACATTGTTTTTGCTTCATCAATGTGCATAGCTTTCCTAAAAGTTACTGAATAAATTTTTAGGAATCTTTGATCTCTATATTTTATTTCTCTTTTCTTCTTTTTTTTTGCCCTTAGTATTTGCATTTAATCAGTTGTAACCAGAAAGTAAGAAAAGATAATTTCTTCTAGTGACAAAGATAACCAGGTTTACTTGGATAAAATGCAATGACCTCTGATAGGCGGGTTAAAAGATCTAAATGTCCTTGCAGGTTTGAAAATGATGAGGCCAAAAGCGCATGAAAAGGCCAATATCTTTGTGATGTGATAGCTTTTTTAAAACATTTGGATCTATTGTATATAGAACTTGTTAGACTAGTTTGAGAAAAATGTAATATTACAGTTTTGCAAGTTATGAAGCTTAAACATGGCCAAATGTTACTTGTATACTTTATGAAAGGAAAAAAAACAAGCAAAAAACCACCATCAAAAGCCAAACACCTAAAATCCAAATCAAGCATACATAGCTGAAAAAAATTTGAAATATTTAGTGTTTCATATATAACTTAACTGAAATTCAATAAAACTTTTAAAGTAAAAAAGAAAAATTAGCAACAGTCAGCAATGGCTACTTAACTAAATGATTCCTTTTTTTTGTTAGCACAAAATATTTCTATCAGCTAGAATCCTTTACTTGTTTCATAGGTAATATTAATTTTGTTTTGCATCCATTCAAAAATTGGTTTTAGTTTATGTGGGAAATTGAATTATCAAAAGTTGCATATTGAACGCGGGAATCAGGAACCTCATCAGCACCTCACAGGCTGCTGGCTTTAACTTCTGTATGACAGGTTAATATAAGTTCATTAAATAAAGTTAACAAAATGTTTGTCTTTGTATGCTGTTACCAGCTTTCAGAATTGATTACTGCCATTTATTATTTAGCAATTGTATTCATAAATGAGTGCAACAGCTTTTGTAAGCAAATCTAATGCTTCTTTCCAAAAGTCAGCCAAGAAGACTTAAGGTCATGTCTTCATGGACTAGTGTGAAGGAACTTGTTTTTGTTGGATGGGTGTGAGCCAAGCCAGTCTGAAAGCAAATGGAAAGCTGAAAGGCTGCCTTTAGTAGCCAAGGTGTCACATGCATTTGTATGACTTGAGTGCTTTAGTGATGACCCTGTTAAGCTGATATCTCCTCAGGACTGTGTTGTGTGGGTAAGCTAGCTCAGGTGCCACGTGGAGCATCGTTATATGATGTCATTTTAGGTGGTTTGTTTGTCCTTTGCCTGCCTAGTTGCTTTGGTATTTTGGCAAATTTTACCTGAAATCTGTTTCTCAGTGGAGTTCAGAATGACACAATGGGACTTGATCTAGGTGTAGAATTTCGTGGCTTTGAGCATCACTGGATGTGATTGCCAGAGTCCCAATGATGTCCAGTCCTTTTGGATACACTGATCCAAAATCCACCTGTTTACAAAGCAGAAGAACCATAAACTTCATGTCCCAGCAAATTTCAGGATACAAAAATTGAGCTCCATGACACTCAAGAAATAAATGAATGGGAAGGCTGCTGTTACCAAACCCTTAAAAGAAAAAACCCTCCACTGCTGAAGTAGACCTGGTGGAACTTAGCAAGGCAGTAAGGAACGTACAAGGAAGAGGCCTTCCAGAACTGGTCTTTTTGGCTTCTTCATAAGCCAGTAGAAGGGAAATAATTCAAAGATTACTCTGCCTTTACTGGAAGAATAATTTTATTAAATATTTCCTTATCAAAATGCTAATAGTTACCTCAGCATCCCTCTAAGCTGACTCTATTTTTTGGGTTTTGTGGTTTTGTGATTTTTTGTTGTTGTTTTTGTTTGTTTGTTTGTTTTTTTAAAAAACTATCATCTTTAAAATAAAGACCATTTTTTTGATATTCCCCAAACCGAGGTTTCCTTCTTTCGTCTTTATTTGGTAGTTCAGACTGAACACAGGGAGTCATTCCTTAGTTGTGTTGTGAGTGCAATTTCCAGTGAAATCCAAATAAACTTTGTGTACAAAATAGTTCCTCATTTACAAACAGTACTTATTTTTACCCATGGTGTCAGTATAAACTCTTGGAGGAGGTAGGAAATATGTTGACTGCTGTCTGATTTGAAACACAATGGGAAATGGGAAGTTGAAGGCAGTCCTTTCAAATAAAATATACTAGATTAAGAGAAACATTTTTTTCTGGAGATCTGGTCAGCAAGGTTATTTTTCCTTTGTGTGCTGATGATCCACAGCGGGCTACTTGTCCACTTCAGCACATGAGCAACTCTGGAAAACACAGGTGGCCCCATAAATGTTATTTATGTCTGAATATGTCTCTATGTCTGAATCTGAATCTTTGTCAAATTCAAGTTTTGATTTATTTTACTGTTAAATAGTAAAACCAAAATAAATAGCAAACTAACACAAAAATCTTTAAATCCAGTACAGAGTGTATATTTTTGTATTTTTTTGACTTCTCTAAGAACTTCTGTCTCTTGTTATTGCTAGTGCAAGCAACTGGCAAACCAGCACATGTAAAGACCATAGCTGTGTGCAAGTAAAACTTTAAAAGCTTTATGGGGTGATATGCACATGTCCTTGCATATTGTATTATTTCATAATCGAGTGAAATACAAAAATAATGTGGTTAATATTTTGTTCTCTGGTAACTGAAATACAAATTATTTTACTTTATTTTCCATAAACATGTAATAATAACTGGTACATACTGGTTTATAATAGAGTGTTTTTCACTATTTTAATCTTCATCTGCTATTGTGAAGTGCAGCACTCTCTGAATGGCCTTGCAATTTTTAAGTGCCTTGCAAGTTGGTCAGTATATTCTGTGTCTGGAACTCGTGAGAGCTTTTCAGTCATTTACTGGAGAGTTTTGTACTGTAAATAATATATATTGCCACTAACTGTGGCTGCAAAAGCAGTGGAAATCCAATTATTTATGAGTCACATTTAAATGGAAAATGCTGCAAGTCAAATAGTACAATATTTAAGCTATATTATACCTAAAACCAAAGTATTGTGAGTTATATTACATCTTCGTGTTATTTAAAAGAAGAAAAAAAATCTATGCTAAGAAAAGTATCTTTTATGAAAATGATAGACTTACTAAGTTTAGATATGTAAGAGCAATAAAACTTTAGCAACAGAAAAATTGCTAAAATTATTGATACTACACTGGAGTATGTTTATTTGTTTTGATTAATATTTCAAGGCTTGCACGGGAGGTGGATGTTCCATAAGCGATGCTAGCACAGCTATAACAGATGAGAGTACACCAGAAGGTGTTCCTGCTCCAAAAGCCCAGTCATATTCATCTGACTCCTTTAACATCTCATGGACTAAGCCTGAGTATCCGAATGGTAAGTGAACTCTTTTAGCCTCAAGTTAAAAAGATGATTAGTAAAGGTAAATTAATATTCTAAATGGCAGCTTATATGTGGTGCTTAATTTTTAATGATCATTTTAGCACATAAAATACCTGAGATAGTATCATTGTCTGCAGCTGGGAGATTGTGGTTTTCAGCCTATCGTGCTGTTTCAGTGGCTCAAAAGTGCTCCCTTTTGATAGTTCTTGTGTACTGCATCTCATTGTTTAATGTTTTCCAGGACAACTGAGCTGAGGAATAGGCATTCCTGGAGAATATCAGTCTAGGATGTTAATTTCACCCTCCAATAAAACATTAATTTCTTTTACATTAATTGATTAATTTATTTTATGTTAATTGATATGTAATAATAATTAGATTTGTGTTCTGTGTAGTCATCATTTCCATGGCTGTGAAAGTTAAACAATATGCTTTCTTTTGTTTAGAAATGTTTTCCATTATGAAATATCCATCCGTAAAACTTTTGGACAAATTTTACATTTCTAATGAGATTGCACAGTATCGTTCACCTTGGAATTCACTCTGATTTTATTATCATGCGTGTAACAGTTTAAATCACTGCAGACAATGCAATGTAGAAATCACTAAATTTTAAGTATTAGAAATACTTTTCTTCATTGGCTTATCATATTGATATATATTGTTTCTCCCAATGGTTTTACATGAATTTCATTTTTGTCCTGCAAGTTTTTTCCTGCTTTCAATTTTGCTAGAGCACATCCTACTTGTAAAATTTCCCTTAACACACTCTAAATGATTTCCACAAAACTGGTGATTGTAAAGCTACACATATATAATATTCTGTGAGCTCTTACAATAATTTTAGAAAAAAAAAATCACAGTATGTAATGTGTTAAATAATGTATTTGATAATTTATGGTTCTTTCATTGGAAGTTGTTGTGGAAGATTTTGCCTCCTAGCCCCTTAGAAACTCCCTAACCCTGTTTCTAAAATCCCATCAGCATATGTGGCAAAGGCAAAGAGGCAGGAGAATGGGGAGGGGTACTGGATGGGAAGGGAGGAAATAGGGTAGGAAGGTCATGTATGTGACTTAGTGGATAAAGTCTAAATAATTTTCACTAAAATAGGCATATTTTGTAGTTCATCTCAGGACCTGATCCTGTTATCCTTACATTGCGGGAAAAAAATCCAAATAGTTAGAGAATGGTTTAACTAATCAAATAAGTATAAATATATATCTATATATACGCATATCAACAGCACAAGATAAAGACCTATAGTTTAATAATTAAATTTCCACCAACTTCTTTAAAACAACTAAAAGTTGGGATCCATGACTAAATTTGGATGTTGTATCTTGTTAATACACCATTTGCTATGTACATCTTGGCTCTTCTTTTAAATATGGTGAACAGCTTGTTTGGAAACAACTGAGTGTGTTAGAGCACCCTCAGCAAGTTTGCAGACCTCACCAAGTTGGGCAGGAGTGTTGGTCTGCTGAAGGGTAGGAAGGCCCTGCAGAGGGATCTGGACAGACTGGATTGATGGGCCGAGGCCAGTGGTGTGAGGTTCGACAGGACCAAGTGCCTGGTCTTGCATTTGGGTCACAACAATCCCATGCAGCGCTACAGGTTTGGGGCAATGTTGCTGGAAAGCTGCCCAGAGAAAAAGGACCTGATTGACACCTGAACATGAGCCAGCTGTGTGCCCAGGTGGCCAAGAAGACCAATGGCATCCTGGTCTATATCAGAAATAATGTGGCCAGCAGGACTAGGGAAGGGATTATCCTCCTGTACTTGGCACTGGTGAGGCTGCACCTCAAATCCTGTGATTAGTTCTGTGCCCCTCATTACAAGAAAGAAGTTGAGATGCTGGAGCATGTCCAGAGAAGGGCAGCAGAGCTAGTGAGGGTGCTGAAGCACAGGCCTTATGATGAGCACCTAAGGAAGCTGGGAGTGTTTAACCTGGAGAAAAGAATGCTCAGAGGGAGCATTCTTATTGCTCTCTACAACTGCCTGAAAGGAAGTTGGAGCGAGGTGGGAATTGGTCTCTTCTCCCAGATAACAAGTGATAGGACAAGAAGGAATGGCCTCAAGTTGTACCAGGGAGGTTTAGATTGGATATTAGGAAAAATATCTTAACAGAAAAGGTTGTCAAGCATTGGAACAGACTGCCCAGGGAAGTAGTTGAGGCGCTGTCCCTGAAGGTATTTAAAAGATGTATAGATGTGGCACTTTGGGACATGGTTTAGTGGAGAGCTTGGCAGTGCTGGGTTAACAGTAGGACTCCATGATTTTAGTTTTTTCCAACCTAAGTGATTCTCTGGTTCTATGATATATGTATTAGTGTACATTCCCATTCTCCAGTTTTCTATTTCCATCCTTTTCCTCATTTTATAAGAAGAATTAAAATCCAGCCAACAATAAGCAAGCTCTAAAACTTTTCACTGAGCAAATGTTTGATCAGGAAAACTTGCACTCTTCTGTGACTTTGTTTTGTTCATTCTCAGCACATCTTTTGGGCTGCCTAGTCGTCACGTCATTTATAATCACTCTCTGTGTCAGTGTTTTAAAACTGTGTAAGGGTCTGAAAACTACCGTAGTTGAGAAGACTGAAATATGAGAAAGACCAGTGGAAGGCACTTTCCCTTAAATTTTCTTACTTCAGCCTTCTACTGGTGCATTCTTATAGTCAGAAGTTCTAGATCTCTGGGGCCATTCCTTTCTCTCTCTCCCTTCCTTTCTTCTGCTACTGCATGACAGATGTTACTGTTTATTTCTGTGGGCTGAGAAAGCTTATCAGCTTCGAATGGGTGTGTAGGCTGACTGGGGCTTGGACAGTACAAACTTTACTAGGCTCTCACGATATATGTGGAGTCCAGCTGCTTGCCATGATTTAGAAAAACTTAAGGAGAATTAGTATGCTACCCTTGAGGCCAAAGGTGGCAAGTAGGATTAAAGGCTATATGTCTTCTTCATAAAGATAGCACAAAGAGGGGAGTCAAGCTTTGAATCAATACTGAGTTACAGTGGGGATACCACAGAGGTACATATGACACCTACATTAATACCAAATGATCTCATTCTGATTCATGCTGTTACCATAAGTATCAAAGGAATTAATAATGGTTATAATGATTTGTCAGGCATTGATCTATACCCTCTTATGATCAGTGATAGGACCTGAGGGAATGGCATGGAGTTTAGGGGAGGTTTAGGTTGGATATTAGGAAAAGGTTCCTCACCCAGAAGGTGGTTGGACCCTGAAACAGGGTCTGCAGGGAAGTTGTCACTGCACCAAGCCTGGGAGAGTTCAAGAAGTGTTTGGACAATGCTCTCATGCACTTAGAATGATTTTTGGGGTTGTCCTGTGCAGGGCCAGGGTTTGGACTTCAATGATCCTTGTGGGTCCCTTCTAAGTCAGTTCTATTCTATGATTCTATGATACTTTAAAAGGGTTGGTTCTACTGGTATAGGTGCTTAGAGTATCTCAGTGTTTGGAGTTTTTCCTGTGTGAAAGACATCCTTAATGGCAGCATTCACATGTTTACTCTGAGATAAATAAAATATTTTTAAGTGTATCTATATAAAATTAGTTTATTTAATGTAGGGCAAATTATCAACCATTAATGCTCTTGCTTTACAAGCAACTAGACATAGAACCACAGCGGATTTTTCCTTTAGGAAGCCTGTCAAATGTGGTAGGATTGATAGTGTGAGATTTACCAGGACTTCCTCCCACACGTCTCTGCTGTCTGTTTAGCCTCTTACTTTTCTAGAAGAGAAAAGAATTGAGAAGTCTGTGAATCACTTCACCATACTCAGCTCTGCATTGGTTTAGCGTATAAATCTTTTGAAGTAGAACTCTTCAGAGCTCAGCTGAAATACTTGTGTGTACACTTTTATTTACGACACATTTCTCCATTTAGTAGAGAGGAAAATCTTTTCTCAATTTCAAACCAGATCTTCCTCAATGTAGATTCAAAAAAAATCAGTTTTAATGGAAGAAACAGTGAGCTGAGCTATATTTTTACAATATGAAATTGTTTTTATAATGTAAAGATTAGAAGGCATCCTCTGAACTAAACTCCCTTCAAATGACTCCTATAAGTTTGCATTTATTCGCTTTAGGATTTCACATTGATATAGCTTTTAAAAAGGGAGAATATGCATAAATGAGAAAGATGGAAGAATAGGTCTGAGAAAAAGGACTCCTTTGCAAGTGCAACTTCCAAAGTCTAAATCCATAAAATTCTGTCTTTAGTTCATTAAATTCAAAACACTATATGTATGGTCTGTACAGGATTCATGCAATCTATCCTAATATGCACCTTTGGAAGAACAGAATTTTAGAATTCCTTATAAATTAGGTAAACAAATCACCTTCAGTTTTTGTGTTGGTATTAGCCAATTATACAGGAAGGACCATTCTTTCCTGTCTAAAAGTCTTGCCAATGTTTGTTTTCAGTTTGCAAATATGTTTTCTGAAATAACTATCATCAAGAATGAGCACCAGTAAGATATTTTATGTGACAAAATTATTCGTTGCTGATTTATTGTAGTTATACCACTGCCTTGAGTTGTCCTTCCACATTTCAATTATATTGTAGATTTTTTTCTAAATCTAAAGCTGTTAAGATGTGGGATAGTTGTCTGTCTTTCTTGTTTCAGTAGCCATATGCATATGAAGAAGTTTCAATAGCCACATGCAGAGGTTGTGAACCAGAATTGCCTCAGTTTTCCTGATTCTGGGGTGATTTGGCTGCTGTTCAGAAACAAGTTTGTTAAAGGGTAATCTTTGGAATAGTGTAATTGTTTTAAAAGATGCAATCCACTTGTGAGGTTTTCAACAGTTAAAGATGGAAGTGTTTCTTCTGAGTTTTGTGTGCAGAGTCACACTCAAAACGTTATGTGCTCAACTGTAAACAGTTTGAAATGCTGCAACTACTAGCACCTTGATGTCTATAGCATTAGTTTTCTTCTAAATTCTGTAGCGTTTTAGATATTGAATGCTATCACATTGTTTTATAGGTATTATTACTAGCTATGGATTGTATATGGATGGTGTTCTGCTGCAAAATTCATCACAGCTAAGTTGTTATGCTTATGGACTTGCTCCTTGGAGCCTGCATTCCTTCAGAGTCCAGGCATGTACTGCGAAAGGTTGTGCTTTGGGTCCATTGGTGAGTATCTTAATTTACATTCTGGGAGTGTAATAAATGTCAGATGACAGTGAATATCAGAATAAATGGTGATGATTCACTCTGGGCAGTACTAACCCATCTGGCAAAATGTGACATTTAAAAAAAATCCTGTTTAAGTGCTGCTAAAGATTCGATAGGTCATTGTTAGGCACCATTCCAAAGTAGAACATAGGTACTGTGAAGAAAGACAAAAACTGAGGCTGAAACACACATTATTGAAATTAAATAGAGTTAATATGTTTGAAAGGTGCAGATGTGCTTTAACCAGATTTATAAGGATGTATATAAAGAAAGAGTTACTGTTCCAGTAATGAGCAAATTTCTAGCTGCCTGACTGAAAGGACTAAAGTTAATTTGAGAATCACAGAAGCCAGAAGTGGCAACAGGAGCACGGAAAATATGGTCATTCATAAATCTTTTGAATGCAAGTATGTGATCAAAATATTATACTGGATATATTTTAACAGTCTTGTACAACACCACATTTTTTCAGGATTTGAGAATACAGGAATATTAAATTTGACATGTGAAAAACAGGCCTTCTGAGGCTTTTTTATTTTATTAAAGGTTTTTAGACATATAGCTGAACTGATGAATCTAGTATGATTTTGTAGTTCTGTAGCTGATGAATAACTGGAATAGTATCTATTATGCTTGGTTTTGTTTTCAGACACAACTGAGAAAGAAGCCTGTGTTTATTCTGGGGTAACAATTTCTTTAATTAAGCTGTAATTGTGCACTTTTAAATTTAATAAAAAGAAAAGGAAGAAGAAAAGAGAAAGACTTGGGATTTTTTGTGGTTTTCATTTTTTTCCATCACAATTTATAATATCACTATTTTGTATCTGTGAAGAACTTCTAGGTTTTATTTTTACTATATAATTTGTTAGTCTCATTTCCAATATTATTTACAAGATTGCTTTCTTTCAAATGCTGGTAATGTTTTCTATCTGTAGAAGACAACTAGACTTTATAACCATTAAACATTTTATAGCTTGCTCTACTTCGAAGGATATTTACTCTTAAAAGCTTGAATGGCTTTTTGCCAGTTTTTCTTGTACATTTTTTACAACTTCACATATACCCCAAAAGCAAACCTTGTTTTAAGGTATTTGATGTGCAATAACCTAATCCATTGTCTTAGTAGTGATGTTTAAGACAAGTAATTACCAAACTTTGCATACAGATGAAATATGTGTGTTTTCAGCACTACTGTCCTATCAAATAGGCATCAAAAAGGCAGAACAGAATAGCAGTAGTTGGGGTTTTAAAACATATTTTTACTAGCCTTTTTTCACATCTCTGCTGAACTACAGACTCATAACTTGACTTTTGAAACAATTCAAAGTAGGGGTTGCTGTAGCTGATACTCATCTGCATCCCATGATCAGTACGCAAACTGTTTTCCAAAGCCAGTGATCCATCTCTAATCACAGGAATTGAAGTGCAACATCTTTATTTAGGCTCACCTAAGTGCTGCCTAAGTGCTGCTGGATCTTTATTTGATTTTTTTTAAAGATTTTCATATCAATTACAGAGTAAATCCAACACTTAAAACAAAAAAGGAAAAAAAAAAGAAGAGAAACCTAATGTTTTGCCTCTGCTCTCTAAATAGTATGGGAAACATCTCCCAGCAGTAAATTGATATGCTTCCAGCTATTTTTGCTGCTGATCTTGTGCTTTAATGTGCCCTAATCGATCAATGAACATTATGTGACTATGCTAAATATAGGATTTCTCCAGTTTATATTTCTGAAGATGGCTCTGAAAATCTTAATCAGTTCTGAGATTAATAACATTACCTGTTATTCTGTTTCAATAACTCTTTTCTTTTGGATTAGATAGTTCTTGTTTAACTTTTTTTTTCTGTGAGTATGGTTTATTTTCAAGTGAGATGCAAATTGTTAACATATAAATTAAGAAAAGCTAAATTTTAATATCTTTCTACTAAAGCCAGGATATTGCTTTTGTGTCTGTTCTAGCTGGGGTTTTTTGCCTGAAAAGAAAAATAACCTGTATTGTAAAGAAATACTGTAACGTCTAACAGATACTTTAGAGAAATTCAGGAGAAGTGAAATTCTGCTGGTTTTGAAATATGTTAGCTCTTGTAAATCGCTTGTAAATAAACAGAAATGATCCCCACTGAATAATTCTCATCTCAACCCACTGCAATTAAACTTAGATTTCAGGTTTTTATCTTATGCATATTCTAGTACTTTTTAAAAAAACTTAGATGGATGACAATATTTGCCCTATATTCCTATCCTATGGTTTGGTGTCACGTATACAGTAGCTCAGGCTTTGTTTATTAAGTTATTGATACACACATCTGAAAATATCACAGAATTTAGTATAAATTAATGTTTAGAAAAATAAATATGAAACAGGTTTTCTGTGCCATATGTTTGTATAGCAGGTCATAAAGAAAAAACTGAAGACATAATACAGCTGTTGTGGCTGTTTAGGTTGGGATACAGATTGCTACAAATTCATATTGTTTTAAGATTTTCTTTAGTCTTCTTCAGTAGAAAAAAATTGTTGTTCTCTTCTTCATGTTTCTGATGTTTCTGATTGAAGTACCTGCATTTAGCAGCACTTTATAGGAAACTATTTTAGTTTAGAAAGCACAGTTTAGTCAAATTCTTCCATGTTTTTGACTGAAATATCTAAATAATCAAATGGCACTAATCCAATAAACCTGTGGAGTATTTGTTTATCTTTAGGCATGTATTTGATGCTGTTGACTTTACTGCAACTTATCACCTATTTTAAGTATAACAGAGTGTATGAATATAGAAGCACATATAGAGATATTGATGCACATCGAAGATATAGTCTGGCACTTGTAAAAAATAAGCTTTCCAAATTTTACATGCTGAAAAGTAAAACATTCATGTTTCAAGGACAGAGAAAGTATATTTGGTTATTTTGATGACAGAGCATGTGTGCAGATTAAAAATAGCATTTATTAGCACTCCCATGAACCTGCAGCTGAGAGGCACTTAGAAAGGTGTGAAAGCATCTTATACCTTAGAAAACACCAAATAAATAATGTATGAGAAACAAACTTGTTGCCATAAATAACGTACTATCAAATTATTTTGTCCCATAGAACTGAATGTTTACTACAAGTTATGAAATTCAAATACTAAATTTCTAGGATATTGAATAAGTGTTTATTTATTTATAGTAAAATCTTTTATATTCGGTACATTATTCAGCTCTTATACAGTATTTTATTTTCTCTTAAAGATTTACTTATTGCAACTTACATTTATTAGGTGAAATTAGAAGTTAATTCAATGGAGCAATCAAGTGCAATATCCATAAACGATATTTGTTCTCTATCAAATATCTATAGTAATTTACTACAGTGTTTAAATGCATGCTGTCTTCTTAAATGCAGAAACAGAAAGTTCCGTGGTCTTCTATTGCCACCTTCTCTCCTTAGGCTAAGCTGAGATAATTCATCCACATGAGATGCAATGGTGTTTTCAAGAAATTGATATTTCATTCTTTTCCAGTATTTATTTCCCGTTCCTTACAGTGGTCTATTTAAAGTAGGTTAGTTGCTAGACAGCTTCAAACAAATGCAGATGAAAGGAAAATAACTTGCCTGAAAATTAGGACACTGGAAGTGTCTTAGTTACTTTTTTTTTTTTAGAAAGGAATACCTTTTCTGAAAATTTTACATCTCTCATTCCTTCTCTGTGAACTATGGCACCAAACTTCAGTCTCATGGTTGAATTTACAGGTAGAAGCTCGGACTATGGAAGCTTCCCCTGAGGGAATGGTTGATGTATTTACTACTGTTGACGGGTCCAAAGAAGTTCAATTAAAATGGCTTGCCCCAAATAAACCTAATGGAAAACTGACCTACACAGTCCTTGTCACTGGTCTCTTCTATGCTGATCAAGGTATATTTTTCCCTTTATAATAAGTCTAATGATAACATTGATATTCCATTTATTTATTTTTAAAAATTCCTTTAACACTGAATTTTTCTACTTTTTTTTTTTTGCCATGCCATTAATTATTTTAGAATTATCAATTTTATTCTTTTAAGAACTGCTGCTTTGATTTATGGTGCTTTACATTTGTACAAACACATAAATTGGCAAATAAAGATAAGTCCTCTGCACTCATTTGGTCTCTAGATATACACATGGAGTCTTATCTCACAACCTTCACTCAGATAAGGAAGCTATACCCAGAAAATTTCAGCTCGTTTGCTTATATAAGCCAACTCGTGAGAGCTGTTCATAATGTAGTCGATCATGGGTATATTTGAAGAAGAAAGGAAAAGAAACCCAGCTTTTTATTTCTATATAATAAACTCACCATGTGATACAAAAGCCAGAAAACTAAGTTACCTAATAAACCTTATTGTATTGCAGATTGCTCTTTTCCTTCCACTGGTTTATATTGTGGGTTATTTCCTTTTATTCTTGTGTCTTTTAAACTCAGACATAGCAGTGTGGTCTTGGG